TTCCAATTATTAACCCAGAACTCACAAGATAAAGAAAAATTATCTTGTCCGTTCCAATCCACGGATAATTTTCCTGAGTGGAACAGGAAACTAGCCTTAAGCCAGGATTCCTGGCTTTCGGCAACGGATTATCCTAGATCCTCACGTTCCTTCCCGAGGATCGCAGGCTCAGGGAACGAGATTGAGGCCTTTTTTACACCACTTCCCCGGATTTTTCATTGTCCTCAACCCCCTCCCCCTCCCCTCCCTGTGCGGAAAATAAATGCAATCTTCCATTACTCGTCGGTTTCAGGGGGTTATTTATGTTTAATAGGAAGAGTAACCCTTACTGAATACAGTGTGAATTTTATTGAATTTCCCGATTTATAAACCCCCTGCGTGTATCAAAGCCGTTTTCGTGTCATGGCAATATACCCGAAATATACCCCATTTTCAAACCAGGATAACTTGTCGGTTGGAGGAGATTATTAGTGTTTTAAAGTATCAGCTAGAACCGTGACCTCCCCAAATTCAATGATGTGAACTGTCCTGAATTTCCCGATTTATAATCAACCACATCAATTATTATCCGCACCCCCATCCCCCTGTTGAGGAACCTTGGAATTTCCAAGGGAGGGGGTGCATTAACCTTGGAATATCCAGGGAACGGGGATCCAGGCTCTGATATTCCAAGGGGAAGAGCATTTCTCACATGGAATTTCTAGAGGGAGTAAATTAAATGGGAGGGAAATTCCATGGGAGGACATATATTAGAGGATGATGAAGATGCCTGATTTTAACCTTCAAAATACAGAGTTATCTACTATAATCTACTGTCCAGTTATAGCCTTTAATTAATGTCACTTACTGTAATATCCTTGCCGATCGGGTCCCCCCAAAATATTCGACTTAGAAAAAATATCGGACAAGAGCAGACGTACCGAAAAAATATCGAGCAATTGTTCAAAAGCTCTGAACGACAGAAAAAGATCGAGCAGCATTTGGAGGTTAATTAAAACAATTATCGTGCCCAATGAAAATCGACCCCTGCATCAAATGGTCGGCCTTATAATAAATAACATTTCTAAAATCCATATATAGAATAGTCGTCGCATGAAAATATAGGTCATTGTTAAGTGTGGACCTCTTAGGTATATAAGTAAAAAAGGAATATTTTAATTATAAAATAACAACATTAGAAAAGTGATGGGGGGGGGGGACTTTTTTAATTTGTACGAATATTTTTTAAAAATTTATATATTAATTCCTTGCACGAATTTTTCTATTTCAACTTATAATTTTCGCTATTGGTGCACGTATTTTTTCCATCTGTTTCCCCCTCGTGATTTTTATTTTTGCTTTTTCCACCCCCCCCCCTCCCCTCTTACAATATTTCCAAACGTTTCCCGAGAAAGACGGCGAATAGCCTATCATACATACGAATTGAATGCTAAAGCCATTCAAGCGGGTGAAAACATATTCTTTTACAGATCCAAGAGACTAAAGGCCATGTTACACGGTGCAATTTTTCTTGCAACTTGCAATGCAATTCTACTCTTGAGAGATGTTAATCAGTGAAATCAGTGACGAATTTTCGATATGTTGAGAAAACATCAACGGAGTGTAATGAAGACTCGTATTTGGCAATTTTACATCTCTCAAGAGTAGAATTGCATTGCAAGTTGCAAGAAAAATTGCACCGTGTAACATGGCCTTAAGGCTGATATACTTTAATTTAGGGTATTATAATTGGTTGCGGTAGTAATGTGTTTATAAAATGCTCCGTCGTCCGCCCTCTGCCGTTCCCGTCCGCTTTTTATCTACAAGTTTGATATTTTTTGTGTGCGTAAGAATTTGATATTTTTTGTGTGCATAAAAATTTGATATTTTTTGTGTGCGTAAAAATTTGATATTTTTTGTGTGCGTAAGAATTTGATATTTTTGTGTGCAAAAATTTGATATTTTTGTGTGCGTAAGAATTTGTTATTTTTTGTTTGTGAAATTTGATATTTTTGTGTGCGTTAAATTTGATATTTTTGTGTGTGTGAAAATTTGATATTTTGATTACGGATTTTAATATTTAATGCGTGCGTCTATATATTTGTTACAGATGTTTTGATATAAATTGTCCATGACTTTGGTATAACGTTTGACGACTTGATATTATTTGGAACATTCCATATTTATATTGCGAGTTTTGGCATTTCAATATTGGCTTTGATATTATATCTACAACTTTCATAATATTGTCCGTAACGGAACGCCATACATGATATCAATTTTCATTGGCCTTATATTGAGTCATCGTTAATTTGGATTAAAAAATATTTGATTGTCACTTGTCTTCCTACTTTAAAACATATAAAACTTCTCGACAAGTCAAGGGAATGTTCTTGACAAAGTTGACATTTAAAACTGTTCCTTAAAGGTGATCTACAGTCCGTATGTAAACAAAGCCTTTGTTTACATTTTTGCGTCCAAAATATTGAGCTTTATTCGACAACTATTTCTATTTTCAAGCTTCTAGAGTATAATAAATGATCAAGAAACAACAATCAGGCTTTGCAAGAACCCAAAACATAGTTAAACTGTTTGTATCATAAAAAGTGGGGTCCTTTGTGCACATGCGCAGATCGGACTATAGATCACCTTTAATTTTCATATAATTTGAAAGTAGTGTCAAGGTATTTTAAAACTAACCTCTGTACGCTTTTGTTTACAATGTAGCTGCTTCATTTCTTCAAATTTCCTGAGAATATTCGTCGAGTAACAGTAATTCTTGTATATTTTGAGTTGATTTTGTATGAAAGAAGCAAAACGAGCTCGTGTTGATAAACAAAGTCTGAGGCTCTCCACTCCTTCAAAGTTGTAAATCCCGTTTCGCGGCGTTATAAAGCCATAATACTCCAAATTTTTTGCTTGTATGCTTCTATCTTTGTGATTGTAAAATTGGCCCGGTCAGAAACGTAGCCAAGGCAAAAAACGCGAAAAACTACCGTCTGTAATACAAATTCTATACAAAAGTGGGACCCTTGAATCGGGTGGCGGCCGGTGACTTCCGGCTTCACTTTTGTGTACTATAGATGATCCAGTCTTAGTACAGATCAGTGGGGTAGGCGTTTATTTAACGACGCCCTTTCTTCTCCCGCCCGCCCTAAACGCCTGCTACGCAGGCTAAGGAGGAGTTAATCATATTGATTCACAATTTTTGGTGAACACAGGTAATAATCATGTTTCGCTCGCTATTCTGGTTTAAATAAATGATTACAAAGCCCAGTAGAATTGTAATCAAGACCCAACGTTTCGACACTCCAGTCTAGTGTCTTCATCAGGGGTGATCTAAAATTGCAATCGTGCTTCTTAAATACCCAAGGGATGACGTCGCCTGCCAATGAGATGCATATATTCCTCTGGCAAATAGGCACCGTCATCCCTATGATTATCGCGAAAAGGCTTTTTCACTGTTGAATAACAGGTGAGAATCATTCTGGACAGCGGTAGCCAACGCTCTTATATAACTAATCGAGTAAGAAATCAGCTAAATTTACCTACAGAGAAAACAGAAACAATGGTGATAAAAACATTTGGTTCAGAAGAAGAGAGAATTCAAACCTGTGATTCTGTAAAGTTTGTATTGAAATCGCAACATGACCAATCTGAGATAAGTCTGTCCGCCTATGCAGTACCGATGATATGTGAGCCACTGCAACATCAGTTTACTTCTCAAGCCCATGTTTCATCGTTTCTCCAAGAACTCTTTGTGATCTTTTACCTTCGATTTTACGCTTGGCTTTTGCAGTGCCGTTGCCAAGAGAACAATTGCAGCTTTCAGCGCTATGTGTTGTGTTTGCGATGCGTTGTTCCAATCGTTTATATGTTGTGTTAGCTGGTCGATAAAGTCTCGCCCAGCTTTGCCATACGGGACGAGAAAAGTATTTTTACGCCATCGCGTAATTTCATCGTATGCATTAATTATGGTTGACGAGTTGACCGTATTATTGAGCCGTCCGCTCTGCGTCCCCAGATGGTAATCGATGGTATATCAACAGCAACATAGTCGGGTAGACGTCCTGCTTCATGTATGCCGGCGTGTGGTTCACCAGGACAATCATTAGTCACTTCAAAGCCCTCTACAGCTTCGGTTTCTTGCCGTATTATAATAATAATAATAATAATAATAATAATAATAATAATAATAATAATAATAATAATAATAATAATAATAATAATAATAATAATAATAATAATAGTAATAATAATAATAATAATAATAAGTGGCATAGCTGAATTGGCCAAAACCTGTGACCCCACGAAGCGAAACACCGTTCGACTCTCCGCTAAGTTTTACGACCCGTTGGGATATATGTCACCAATAACTGTCCAATTTAAACAAATGTTCCAAGAGTTATGCGAACTGAAGTAAAGTTGGTTGGGATGATGAGATCTAACATCCGATAAGAGTAAAATGGGAGAAACTAGTAGCAGAACTACTGAAGATGAAACGCATTCTCCTTCCCCGTTGCTATTTCTATAATATAAGCGAGAGAGTAATTTCTTCCACCATCCATGGTTTCTGTGATGCGTCAAAGATGGCATATGCCGCGGTGACCTATTTGGCAATTAGAACTGCCAGCAATACTTACGTAAGATTTTTAGCATCTAAGACAAGAGTCGCCCCCATTGACAAACAAACTATTCCTCGATTGGAACTGTTATCCTGTCTCATCCTTGCAAGATTACTTAAAGACGTGGAGGAGGCCTTACGTCTGGAGTTACAATTGCAAGATTCAGTTTGCTGGACTGATTCGAAAGTAGCGTTGTTCTGTTCTGGATCAAGAACGAAGATGAGGAGTGGAAACAGTTCGTGCAGAACCGACCAATGGAAATCCGAAATCTGGTAAGCCCGAATTCTTGGCGACACTGTCCAGGCAGAGATAACCCAGCTGACATACCTTCAAGAGGAATAAACCCTTCAGAGCTGGTAGACAGTATACTATGGCACAGTGGTCCAGATTGGCTAGGTCAAACTAATACTGAAAAGCTTGAAGACGGTGACGAGCAATGTGTACCACCAGAAGAATGTTTAGCGGAAATGAAAATAACGAAACCACCAAGTTTATCAACCCTTACACTGAGCAATTCTTCACATGGCCTCGACGAAATTATAAGGTGCGAGCGATTTGGAACCCTGAAACGACTTCTTCGGGTGACAGCGTATGTTCTACGATTTGTGAAAGCAGTGCAACACAAGAAGGACGGTAGAATTGAAGGTGGTAGTTTTTAAGTGCGAACGAAATTGATGAAGCTCACACTGTGTGGATGAAGGAAATGCGACGAACGTTGCCTGAGAAAGGGGAATTTGAACACTGGAAGGTTCAGTTTGATCTTTATCTTGACGGAAAAAAAGGCATGGAGATGCAAAGGAAGATTGGGAAGGGCGAACTTGCCATTAATAACGAAGCATCCTATCATATTGGACAAGAATCATTATCTCACAACCCTAATCATTCGGGAGTGCCACAAGAAAGTGAAGCATAATGGCGTAAAGGAGACCCTGGCTGATTTGCGATCCCAGTATTGGCTTGTTCGAGGAAGACAGTTTATTCGGACACAACTGGGCAAGTGTGGTACTTGCCGCAGGTTTGAAGGAAAGTCTTACCAAGCCCCACCCGCACCTCCGCTGCCAGAGTTCCGAGTAAATGAGGCACCACCCTTTACTGCGACGGGCATAGATTTTCTCGGTCCGTTATACGTGAAGACGAGAGAGGAAAACCCAAAAGTCTGGATCTGTTTATGTACATGTTGCGTAGTCAGAGCACTACATTTGGATGTCGTGCCAAATTTGACGTCAGAAGGATTCATGAGGAGTTTCAGAAGATTTACTGCCCGAAGAGGAATACCATCAACTATTATAACGGACAACGGTGGGACATTTCAACCCACGGCGAAAGAAATTACTACCATTTTAACTCATCCTGACGTAAATAAATTCTTTGCTGGAAAGCGCATAACATGGCATTTCAACTTGGAAAAGGCCCTTTGGTGGGGAGGCTTCTTTGAAAGGCTGGTCAAATCGACGAAGAGATGCTTAAAGAAAACCTTGGGAACGGCTAAACTCACGTACGAAGAGCTCCTCACAGCAACGGTTGAAGTCAAAATGATCCTCAATTCTCGCCCTCTGTCGTATATTTCCACAGAGGACTTCGAAGAATCGCTCACGCCTTCACATCTGCTGGTAGGACGAAGGCTATTGAGTCTGCCAGAACCCAACTACAATGAGGACGATCCAGATTTTGACATTAAGTTAGATACGGATGATTTAACCCGGAGGATGAGACATTTAAGTAATGTTATGAATCATTTCTGGTCGAGATGGAGGAATGAGTACTTGATGGAGTTGCGAGATTCTCACCGAGTTGAGAAACGGAATGGAAATGAAACCGTCAGTCTTGGTGATATTGTCGTAGTCCACGAAGAATCACGTCCCAGAGGACTTTGGAGATTAGGAAAGGTTGAAAGTTTAATCTCTGGAACTGATGGACAGACAAGAGGAGCTGTAGTAAAGGTGTTTTCAAAGAAAGGAAGATCAACCACCATAAAACGACCTGTTCAGCGACTCTTCCCCTTCGAAATCAGATCTACAGCCAGAGAAAGTGAATTACCTGTCGAAGTCAAGGAGGATGACAAACCAGAAGTGACGAGAACAAGACCCAGGAGAGCAGCAGCGATCGAAGCGGATAACCGAAGAAAGAGATGGATCGAGGACCTTGATTTATGACATTGTAGAATATATGTTGACAATTATAGGATTGAACTTTGGATATTTGGTTAGTTTTAACCATGCTGCATATACAATTTATTTCTTAACATTATTGAACTACTAAACTGTTTTAGTTATAGATTTGTTGACCAACGGATTTGATTGGTCAACGGGGGGAGTGTAAGAGAAGACGGGAGTTTATTTTTCATAGTGGAAGTTGTTATTGTTAAGCGGAAGCATGGCGCATGCGTACAAAAACCCGAACACGAGAAAGAATTGTACGAGAGGGAATTTATGTGTTTATGTTGTGTTTTATGTAATAAATTTGTACAAAACCAGTGCATGAAGTGAGTCTTTTGAATCTGAGAATAACTCAATATAAAGGAAACAATTCTACATATCGAACACTAGCCTGATCAGCGTTAGCTGGTTTTCATGAGGGGCGTGTATTGCAAAATACATAAAGCTACTTACAAATTATGATAAACATTAAAGATATTACTTACAAGTACAAAATAAAATACAGTCACAAATTAATACTAACACGGATTACAGATTAATACAAGGGCTACTCAGAAGGATTATCAAATACAGAAAAATACATTGAAACTAAATTATTTTAAGATAATCATTTGTCAAGGTGAGTCAGCTTCAACTCGATCGTTGCGAGTTTAAAATCCTTTTAAATGTGTTAATGGAATTTGCATTTTTTTGCTTTAATAGGTAAATTATTCCAATGGATAGCTCCATTGTATTTAAAACTCCTTCTACCGAAATCTCTTTTAGGTTTTGGAAGTGCCAAGTCGGTAGCACGATTTCTAAGGTCATGCAAGGTATCACCTTCACGGTGCAATCGGAAGGATTGTTTTAGATTGGGGGCGGCATGACCATTAATTATTATCTTATACATAAAGATCGATTTTGTGTAGTTACGTTTTTGATCCAGAGTTTCCCAACCTAGCGTATTAAGCACATCAACTGATCGAGTATCGTAGGTGGACCCAGTTATCACTCTCGCAGCGCGATTTTGAAATTTTTGAAGCTTATCCTTGAGACCAATTCCACAGTTGTCCCAAAGGGGACTGCAGTAATTAAAATACGGTTGCACAAGGGCATTGTAAGTTAGTTTTAGTGGTTTATACAGACTTCAAAGAAAAGATTTCTATACGATTGCTCATGTGAGTCATGTCTTTGTTCCTTCTCATTTTTATCTTCGATAACAAATCCAGTAAGGATCCAGTTCCAAACATATGTTGAAGTCGCAACCATATTTGCGCATCAGGTCATATAATGAAACGCTCGATGCCCGGGCAAAAATTGCGCCAATTTTTTTATTTACCCACCAAAATGATCGCAAGAACACAGGCTTTTACAATCTGCCCGTACATTTGTACGGACGCCCTTCTTTCAAATCTTTATCTGATTTACAAACATTGATTAAACATTTATTTCTTTTGAATTTTCTTCATGAATTATTAATGAGTTTTTAAAATCAGGTAAAAAGTCTTGTCTTAACCTTAACCAAGAATCTTTAACTAAATTTTTTGTGTAACACAGTTCTGAAGGCGTTCAAGACGCTTAACTCACGAGGAATTAATCATATCGATTCAAACATTTTGGTGAGCACTCGTAATAATGATATAAACGACATATAAAACTTCCAGTATGGTGTGATTGTTTGTTACTTACCGTCAAAATGGGCAATATCCATCACTTTTCAGTAATAACATACCGTTGTCAGACGTCCATGTTTATAAACAGTTGCATGGCTAACATCGGCAAATATTGTGATGTTCCGGTATATTCCGGGAAAATGTCGTGATATTCCGCCATATTCCGTGATATTGCGCCATATTCCGTGTTATTCCGGCATTCCGGGTTTTCACAACGCCCGTTTGACCCGCCCATCGTGTACATTTGAAACGTAAACAAACGTGGAAAAAAGTTTGGATTTTGCGGTTGCTTGCAAATGGTAGTAACTAGGAAATGCTGTGACAGGAAAAGAAAACAGAAACTAAATTCCAATTGATATTCGACAAAGACAATTGTGCACGAACATATCACAGATTACATCATGCAACTTTATAACATATAGGATACTGTACAACGAATTCTAGAGTATAATTATCTACAGATGGTACAATGACTTTCTTTCTCGACAGACCCCTTATATCACAGGTGATCTATGACTTGATGTGCAGGTGATGATGCAGGGTTTATTCGGTTATTTGTTTAGACAAAAATACTACCAAAAAAATTCGCCAGCATGTAGAACAGATGCCTTTCTTCGAAAATACGGAGATACTTCGGCGAGATGTACAAGTTTAGGACCATATTTTAACAATGGAAATCAAAACCCATTTTATATTGAACTTACAAAGACCTACAATTACTAGGTTAGCACTTTTTCCATCCAGCAAACCGCCCTATCGATTTTCTAAAGTCGGTTTTTTTTATTTTTTATTAATTCGGTTAGGGTTAGGGTTAGAGTTAGGGTTGCGGTTAGGGTTAGGGTTGGGGTTAGAGTAGGGATAGGGTTTGGGTTAGTTACATAGCCATTTAACACCTCTTCTATCTTCCGAAAATGACGTCAGGTCAGTTTGCTGGATGGAAAAGTAGTGCTAACCCGATTACTGTCTTGAATGCCTGGGCAACCAGGCCTCCTAAAACCGTGGGGATTTACAGGGGGGGGGGGGTACACATTAATTCGAAATATGATCATTATATAAAAGGATACTTTGAAATATTATATATATATAGACATCATAAACTGTTTTAAATACATTTCTTATTATAACATACATGATATATACACGACAATATGTTGTTTCCCATTGTACTTCCCACTTCTTGGTATTTGCATGTTGTGTGCAGGCGGCGTCCTCCTCCCTCCTGTAAATCCCCAACGGTCCAAAACTTGTACATCCATCTCGCCGAAGTACGCCGTATTTTCGAAGAACGGCATTTGTTCTACATGCTGGCGAATTGCTGCCTCGTCCCCAGGCGCTAATAAAAAAATTTCATGCGAGTCACTATATGAAAGGTTTACATGAAGTGGTGCGTCACATTATAGGCGCGCGAAGGGGAGTGGGATATGAGCGTCTCAAGCCCATGTCTCAAGCCCTGCGAGCGTCTCAAGCCCTGCGCTTGTTCGTCGCGATGCACTACTTCATGTAAACCTTTCATATACTGACTTGCATGAAATTTTTTTATTAGCGCCTGGAGACGAGGCAGGCGAATAAAGAATAAAGCGATTTGAATGTGAGAATTTTCGATCGAAGTGCCGTGCAGACGGATCGACGATTGTAACGATTGTAAGTCGTTTACTAGTACCATCATATCAGGGCCGTACACAGCGGGGGGGGGGCAAGGGGGACAACTGCCCCTTTGGATCTTTGGGACTTTTTTCGGCATATAGACCTTACTACCTCCCCTGGTGAAAAAATGGCATATAGACCTTACTACCCCCTGCGTGCGGCCCTGCGTACCATCGAGTGCAAAGTCTAGGAAAATATTAGCCCAACAAAAGAGGAATAAAATAAGAACACACACTATTAAATAGGCAAGTCAATTTCATTTTAAAATTTATATTTTATATGACATATTTTTACTATAACATACATCACTATGTAAAGTCTATACTGACCCTTGCGAGATTGGGCCGCCTGTCTCGAACAATGTAAACTAGCCATACTTTTCGCCGAACGTAACTTCGGCCCCTTTGGACATATCTTTTTCGTAATAGTCTTATATTCGAACCAGAATCCAAAACACTATTTAGAGTGTTATTTAGAATGTTTTGGTATTGCTTGTGTCTGTTGTAATATTGTCTGAACTGCCGGGGAACATAATGTTAAGTACTGAGGGTTACCTGTATTGGGAGCCCGCACTCGAGTGGTACATTTGTTTATTTTATTTATTTGACCGCCATGTTGTATTTTGTTGGTTAAAGCCTTACATCTGTAGGCAACTATTTAAGTCATAAGTGAAATACAGACTATGATGCTGCCATTGGAAATATTGGAATCCCTTTTTATCAAACCCAGAAATGAGATTTTTGCCAGACATGTTTTAGCTGCAAGGCGTCAATATTAAAACCAAGTGAAACCCTAGATGAGTACTTTCAAGCTTTGACGAGTAACTCGTCGTAGATGGATCGGAACAATCCGTTAATTGTTACTTTGAGAACTGCTACTGAAAGGGGTGGGGGCAATAATTTCGCCAGGGGGACGACCACCTGTGGCTATGTCACTGGTTTGGGTCTTATCGGATTGACTACAAGCCACCTTTTCACACATGTGTAGACTCTGTAAGTGATCTGGTTAGGACGATTGCGTACTCGCAAATAAAGTCTCTAGATCTGAGTTCTCTCTCATTAAACTTGCAGATGTGGACGCGACCTGCAGAAGACTTCAGTTGCTGATCCTTTGCTTAACTTGTTACTAACCAAAAAATTGTGTACTCAGGAAGGAGAGCAAGCGCCACTGGAGATAAATATCAGTTGCGTGGTCAAGAAAATAGTGCATGAAGATGGCAAAGCAGTGGCTCTTGAGACCAACAAAGGAAATGTCAAGCTTGGAAATGCCAAGCTAATCCTGGCAATGGGTGTACTTCCTCCAACTACTCTTATGCTCAATTCATTCCCTTCGTCTTCCTTTAGTCAGCTTGCTGGCATTGGTACCCGTTACACCGCCCATTTTAGAAGTTCCGTTCTCGCGCGTCTTCCCCGGAATTTGTATCACGATCTTAAAAAGAAAATCTCTGGAAAAATTGAGGTAGCGGCCATGCATATCCCCGGATTAAGCCCGCATTCAAAACGCCAGTTTCACATCCAAATTTCAGCATTCCTAGACGACACACCACTGGTCGATATTCAAAACACGTTGCACCAATTTCCAGATGTGTTACCTGCACCCTCGATAGAGCAACTATCATCATCCAAAGACCCACCACATATTATTTTTTTCTGCAAAACTATCGGTGGGCTTGATCATACCAACAAAAATAATTGGTTTTGTCTCAACAGTGATGTTCCTAGCAATGATGAAATTATTAACAATAATAATACAGATGTTACTTGCAATACTACTATGCAAGTCGTGCTCAATGACACAGACCGTCAACTATGGGATACTATGGACGAATCCACTTTTGCAGTTCTAAAACGTTTGGCCTTATGTGATCATCCTGATGATTCTTGTCAATTGGAGTTCTGGCATTCGGAGGATTCGCATTCTTCTACACAAGGACGCTGGCTGAAAGATCCTCCTCCTACTTCCCAAATTCGTCGTCGCGTTTTGGTTCACCCAGCATCAACCATGTGGATAGGTGATGATGATCATGAGCCATCGCCTGTTGATCTGGATTATCGATTTCGAGGTGTCGAAAATGTGTATCTCACTGGGGGTGCTCTTTGGCCTACTGCTGGTTCCTGGAACCCAACCTGCACCATGACTGCCTTGGCCATAAATTTAGCTGACAAACTGCTCACCAACTTTGACAACAACAACAACAACAACAACAACGACACGAACAACACTGACATCGACAACAGCAACGACAACGTACAACCTGGATATAATTATGAAGTTATGAACAAGTATTCACACTTATAGCTAGTTGTTATTTCTCTTAGTGCTAATGTACTATGACAGAAACTGTCTAATTAGGAACTATCTAACTGCACGTGACGTAGTGACATTATCATTACGTTTGCACATTAAGGCCGTTTTGCACTAGGCGGAATTTTCCGCGCCGAGCGGAATTTTTCTTTGTCTTGTGATTTCTCGGGTTGAACTAATTAGAAAAGACAAAGAGAAATTCCGCGCCGCGCGTAAAATTCCGCCTAGTGGAAAACGGCCTTTAAACTACGGCGAGTTTGAGCAAAACAACAAAGTACGTGGTTTGGTAGTGTAGGTAGAGAAGGATACAAGGTGTGAGGTTCGGTCTATAATCCAAGTATCAAAAACAAATACAAATAGAACTGTGAAATAGAACTTCAAAGGTTGATTTGTATTTTTCAGGTACTTTGGATTACAGTAAAAGAACAACTAAAAAAGTAGTTAAGAGTAGTAGTTAATTTAGTAGTTAGTTTATTCTTACTACTTAGTCAGTAAGTAGTAGTGGTAGTGGTAGTAGTAGTGTAGTGGTAGTAGTTAAAAGTAGTTAAAAGTAGTTAAAAGTAGTTAAAAGTAGTTAAAAGTAGTTAAAAGTAGTTAAAAGTAGTTAAGTTCTTAGTAAGATGATAGGTACTTATTGGAAAATCAGGTTCTTAAAATTAACTACAGTAGTTCTTATTTCTAGTCAAAAACAAAGTCAAAAACAATTGTTTCTGGTTTAATCACCTAATGTTATAAATTATTTGCTTCCTGACTTAGTGAGCAGTTGACTAATAATTCTTCTTTAAAACAGGGCATTTCTTTTACTATATAACTGGGGGGCCAAAGCCCCCCCCCCCTGCCCCCATGGTGCCCCCTCCCCACTCAACCATTTTGGCCCCCCAGTCAAAGTCCCTTTTCTCTAAAATATAAGCAAAACATGGAATTTAGAAGGGAGGTTTGATATTCTAGTAATTGAAATTTGCTTCGTGAATCTTATGTTCTGTCTTTTATCTTTAATGCTAAACATTGTGTTGTAAATACCTTATCAGATTTTAAACATTTTCCAGTGGATTGCATTTCCCAGACCGTATAGATTTGAGTTGTTGGAAGGCTCGGCTAAACACGTTAGTGACTGCAGGGGCAACGGACCCCCAACCCAGTGTTTTATAAGGGGGGGGGAATAATTTTGGCCCCCCATAAAAAAAAATTGATTTCGAAACTAGAAGTATTTGAAATCGTATATATATATATATATATATATATATATATATATATATATATATATATATATATATATATATATATATATATATATATATATATATATATATATATATATATATATATATATATGACACTGAGACTGAAAGACCTGAAAATATTGTTAGACTAGCAAGCTATTTTCATTGGTTTCAAACAAACAAACGAGCGTAGTCAGCGTCTATGAGGATGATTGTGTGACATATGTGCAGCCTTGCAGTGTTTCCGGTGTGTGAGCGACAGTGTCGAACACAATAGTTATGTATTGGATTCTTAATCACACCTGCATGTGACCACACTTGCAACTAAGTCATGCTTTAGATGTCATTCGAATATGGCAACAAAAGTGACTTGTTGTTTGTGGGGGTTTTTATCAGTATTTTAACGTGGTATTTGTCAAATTCGCCGTGTGCTGGTCCAGTCGTAAAGTCGTGGGTTAAATTTAATCAAGTTATGCATTGAGAATTGCGAGAAAAAGCCAGACGAAACGCAAGTTCTTATTTGCCCAGAAGGTAGCCCCTTTTTTCAAACATAATATTACTAAAATCACTAAACTGGCCACATCCCGCTAAGAATTTCAAATGGGGAAAGACGTTTGATAAACGGGGAAAGACGTTTGATAATTCCAAATTCAATTTTCGTTCAGTCATGTGACCAAAATGATGAAGTCATGTGATCAAATTGTTTCATCATTTTGGTCACATGACTTCACGATTTGACAGTGCTATTTATAATCATTACTCCCAGTCAACTTCGAAACAACTCAGTATATTACAAGATGGAGATCATATTTTCGCTAAAATGCAGATCATATTATAAGATAGATACTAGATAGATTGTTTATTACGATTATGGAACTTTAACATGAACATAATACGAATATTTCATATATTCTGTTGCATTGACCTTCGTTTGGATGTTTGTTGACCTTGTTTACGTTTGAATAACTTGACTGTTGAGTAACGAATTTCTGACGTTTAATTCAAAACTACGCACCTGATTGGATAATAAAATTAGAAACCCATGTACAAAAATAAATTGATAACAAAATCGTGAAGTCATGTGACCAAAATGATGAAACAATTTGATCACATGACTTCATCATTTTGGTCACATGACTGAACGAAAATTGAATTTGGAATTATCAAACGTCTTTCCCCGTTTATCAAACGTCTTTCCCTGTTTGAAAATCTTAGCGGGATGTGGCCAGTTTAGTGATTTTAGTAATAAACAACGTTATTCCTTCAGTCATCTTGTGGAACCTACTGTCTCATACAAACAACTTTCGTCAAATATATTTAATACCATTGCACCAGGGGCGCACATTCGAAAATCGAAAAAAATTTGGGGGGGTATTCTATGTTCTGGGACCGACTTTTGTAGTATTTGTGTTTGGTAAGAAAAGCCAACTATTTAAAGCGCATAGACGGTAAGACGGGGATAGTATTCCAAGAGTTTAAATGTTCAGTTTTTCAGAACTTTTGCAGTGGTCTAAACTTTCAGAAGGGGGGGGGCAAAATTTTTATGGATTTCGAATGCGAGCGCCGTAGGCGCGAGGAAAATTTTGAATTTCTAAATTCATTAGAACGCTATTTCACGTATTTTAGGACAAGGTTTGAAGAAAAGTGACAACCACAAAAAGGCATTTTTAAGTCGCCTAATGTTGTTAGATCGAAAAAATATTTATGTAAAACATAGTATTGTACACGCAAATACAACAGCAAAATAGCATCATGTCTTCGTTTTTGTAGAAGTCGGTCATGAGTGTTGCCTTAAGCGCAAATTCAAGTTCAAATGTGCTTTAAAGCAACCATAGGCATTTTTTACTGGAGTTAGGATTCTAGGTAGGGAAGACTTCAACTTTTATTGGCAAACAGAAGAGATGGGTATCATTATTCACACATCGTACCCCCACCCCAATTTCTGCCCGGATTTCAGCTTTCCACAAGGGCAATCCTTATGCCCATTGCAGAGCCCCCCGAGCTCCCATCTTGGTTACGCCGCTGATTTAGAATAAAACGTATAGTTCATTGCACTCTTGGGAAATGGAATTTTCTATTCAATATCACGTGACCATAAACAACCAATTAAACGATCAGAATTCAATAAGGTATTATATAAAAATTAAGAGCGGGTGCGAGGGAGACTAGTGACTGCTAGCCGCGTATAGCTATATATATGCGCAGTGTCGACATGCGGTGAAAGGTGACTAGTGGACGAGTACTCTGCATTATAACCGCAATAAGGTACAGAGATTCTATTTTCATAAATTCTATTTCTTATAATAGTGTTATTAAACTGTCTTTAGTAAAATACATATATAGTTGCCGCATGTCCCGCTTTATATATTGCTTTATGCCGATTCGATTGGTGAAATTTTGTTTTATTTTATTGATTCGCCCATGCTATGATATATTAGTAACATATAAATGTATATATAAAATAATTGATTGTGGGCTAGGAGTCTATAGAAACCTGTAGAGGCTTTTGAATTTATACCCTAGTTCGTATATTTACTTATATTAGACTATATTGTGATAGTTTGTCGTCGGTTCTAATTACTATGTATTTAGTACAAAGATAAAACTGAAAGATGAACTATTTTGTTCAATTTGAAAAATTTATATAAAATGAATGTGAAAAAATGTAAAGTTTGAGTTGAGGTGAGTATATCTATTTATACATAACGAGAATATTGATACAGTGTTACGTGTACATGTATAATAATTATGTATATATGATTATACAAATGGTATATATATATAATTCATTTTAAATGCGATGAGACTTATAAATGTTCGTTACATTATAGTATCAACTATCAAGTTATAGTTATTAGAAATGTTCACTCCTTTTACTGAAAGTGATCGTTTGACGTAGTTAGTCCTTTGATAAGTCAAGCTTGTGAAGTTTAGATGAATTTGGTGTGTTGTGTTGATGAATTTAATTCTTTGTATTATTGAAATTCGCATATTTCAGCGGTCGGTAAAAATGTGGTCACGTCAAAAGTTTATTTACCTTAAGATTGACGTTTACGGCAAACGTCAAACCGCTAGCGAAGTTTTTGATTTTACAACTCTATTACTGTAGCTTTTACACCAGTTTTGAAATATGTTAAACTGATTAAACTTCTGCTCTTTAGCAATGATTTAAGAAAGCAAATTAACCACTAGTCATGCCATTCGCCAAAGCAGTAAATTAAGATTTGGCGTTTGAAGTTGACGTTTGACGTATAAATTTCATGCTTTAACGACTACAAGCCCTCGTAGCAGACTAGCAGTTCAAGCATGAAATCTATACGCCAAACGCCAACTTCAAACGCCAAATCTTAATTTACTGCTTTGGTGAATGGCATGACTAGTGGTTAATTTGCTTTCTTAAATCATTGCTAAAGAGCACAATTCACAATTTGATAATGTACACAATTTGATGTTTCACAATTTGATAATGTACACAATTTGGTGTTTCACAATTTGATAATGTACACAATTTGGTGTTTCAGAATTTGATAATGTACACAATTTGGTGTTTCACAATTTAAATCTACTAAACAGAAGTTAGTCATTTAATATTGGCGGGGATCACACGTCATAGTACCATGCATGATCAATCGCAATTAATGATCGCCATTTTGTCAGAATATAACAAACCAAGATCTACCAAATCTCTTTCTAAAATTGCAACTTAATTTTTGTCTCACTGTATTCGATACCATTTCTTGTCAATAGTATATTCCCATCGTTTTACTTACTGATAGCAAAAATTTAGGTATATTTTTAGCCAGGCAGCACGTCGATATTCGCAGTATAATTGGCCAATCAGCATTATTTGAATCCATTTGCTGTGGAATGTATGTCTCCAGTAGAGGTGTGCAAATCGGATTCGTTCGGATTCGTTCGGATTTCGGAACAAAAATATTCATTTCCGATTGGATCGGATTGATAAAGTTGTTTCGTAGTCGGGTCGGATCAGACTTCGATATTCGAAATAAAATTGAAGTTTAAATAGTCTGAACTTTGAAACTTAACTTGAACACATTGCTGGGATGTCACTATAATATTGCAAATACTAAACAATTTATATTGCCTTAATGACATTAATTGTAAATAATTTTGACATTAACGTTAATCTAATTTTGTTAAGCAGTAAAAGCATTATCGCTGGGCATGTAGTAAAACATGGACTGGACTCATTAGTAAAACTAATTGTCGCTGCATTATTCGTTTGATACTTCAATTGGACGTCATTTTGTCAGCTTCTTGTTGTGTATTTCTTGCTTTTATATTTATTTGGTTAAATATTTCCACTTGAATGAGAAATTTATTTTATTAATTTAAAGAATTCTTCGGATTGGATCGGAATTCTTTATCGAAACTCGGATCGGATTGGATTAGACAATTTCGGATCGGATCGGATTGGATTTTAAACATTAGTCAATTGTTAGATTATCTGAAACGTCCAATCCCATCTGATGCACACCTCTAGTCTTCAGGGCATCTCAGGGGAGTGGGGACGGGACAATTTGAAAATTTGCAAAGAGGGGGGGGGGGGGCAAAAGGTGTAATTAAAAAAAATTATTTGGAACTTTTTTATATAAGTAATAATTTTTAGATCTTAATTTTACTGGTATTGTTCCGAATAGATGTGTTTACCCGTGATTACCTCCGCCAGGAGGTTATGTAATCATCTGGTTTAACAATTTATTGATTTAACTAAAGATTAAATTTTATTGATTTAACTAAAGATTTTCAACACGTATGTATACCTTCAATGATCCAAAGAATACATGCGAAAATATTTTAAAGAGAAAACTTCAAAAACTCAGGTATACATAAGAAATTAAAAATCGTATTCGCTTAGTTAATATTCATCATATTTTAAAGTTTATTCTGAACTTAGTGGGTTCTTTAAATTAACTTTCGGTATAATATATCATTTATAGACCCTCCGCTAATTGGGATTCGTCGAAATATTACCCTCAGTGATGATGTTTCCCTCGGGGCAAAGCTCCTCGTGAAATATCATCACTTCGGGAAATATTCCGCCAAATCCCCCTCGCTCCGGGTCTATAAATGGTAATAATTGAACGCCTCTTAACCAATCAGATTGTAGTAACATTGTCATACATTTAATAATATGTAATACTAGTATTCCAAAGGTCTTAGGTTCGATTCCCACCGTGGCTAGGCATATTTTTCAAGCCTGCCCGGTGTGGATATACACTCAGAGTAACATCACACAAGCATATATAAATTCGTTAGGCCATTTCTAAAACAGGAAACGGAGAACAAGTATATATTAACAACGTCCTCGCGGCTCGCTGATCTACTTTAATTATTTCAGTTATAGAAGTCCCTATATACAACGCATTTGGCAAAAAGAAAAGAAACTGAAGTTTGAAATTACAATTCTGAAGTGATCACATAACCGCGTGTCGGCGACATGGAAAGTGTAATAAGGTAATATTATGGTAATGATATTCGCAAGAAATATCTAGCTATATAACCCTGGGATAGAGGGCATTTTGAGGAGGAATGACAATTGTACTATCTTAGTTGCTGGGGTATGAAATATTTTGACATGCACGTATATAAATTGCCAGGGTATGAAATAACACTAAAAAATAAACTTAAGGGACTGAACTATAAATAAAATTTGTTATAGAATATCACAATCATTTTTTTGGACTTGCTCTACTGAACCTGTTTTGCCCTTTGAACTGCTGAGAACTTTGACGGACGAAATACGGACGTTCTGAGCCGAGCCCTTCATTTGAGCAGGGAGGGAGAATATTTTACTTTCTGGGACCGCAAAAGTTTTTGATTTAACAACTTTATTTTGGCACATAAAAAAACTAACTCAACCAGACAATTACATTGTACAAGAAGATGAAGAAAGTGCCAAAAGTGGCGAAACACAAACGAGATTAGGTCCCATGCAAGGTGCTCGCCACGTATAACGTTCGCATGTTTCCATTCTATGCCGGGTAGGTGGCCTGTTGTTAAGGACGTGTTGAACAAGAGGCTTGTCGAGATTTCTCTTGAGAATTATTTTAGTAGAAGTGGTGGTATTCCGTCTGGGTCATAAGCCTTTGTTGTGTCCAAATGGTTAAGGAACTGCTCGATTTCATACTGCGAGATCTGAATATCAGATATTATCTCTTCAGTTTTCGATGCCATGTTCAAGTTTACATCTTTGGAAGAGGACATCGAAACAAAAACAAACGCGAAGAATGCGTTGAAAAGTTCTGCTTTTTTGTGTGGGTTGTTGCAGTTCTTGCTTTGTTGTACGTGTTAGCAGGCTGCAGGTGGGGAATTTCTATTGCGGAGGATAATGTTTGTGGTAGGATCAGAATAACTTAGCCGGTAATTTAGCGAGGGAATCTTGAACTTATTCTATGTATTGATGGTGTTTTTGTTTAATCAGGTCCTTAGTTTCCTGTGTCAACTGGCGTAGTTTGCGTTTTCGTCCAGTTCCGTTTCTGACGATATTGTCGTGTGTATATTACTCGGTTTTTTTTCAAATAATCAAGTAAATCGACATTCGGACATTGTAAATGTGTAACTATTGTCCAGTGAACTGTACTAACACTGGAACGCTAACTGCAGGTAAACATGCCCATACTTGCCTGAAGCCAAGATGGCGCTTCTCGCGAGCTCAGCGAGCAATAAATTAACTTTTAAAAGGACTGGAGAGAGTTTCGAGGAGCGGGAAATTCAGTCAAAAGTTTGTTTTTGAGCGAAAATCAGCAAGAAAAAGCACTAGGGGGCACTATATCAGAGGGATCCATGCTCCCCCAGAAAACTTTGAAAATCAGGTGTCCCAGATTGTGTGGAAATTGCATATTTCCCATATATTTCCCATATATTTGCCATATAACATTTGTCACATCATTCTATTGTCTATATGTTTATACACTTTCGTACTATTAAGATGGATGTACTTGTATAATTGCATTTCTGAGGTCATACCCTACAGTACAGATAACATTGTTTCTATTGGTTAGAAATTCTCAGAAATGTTCTTCTGAATTTCCCCTTTTATCTAAATTTTTTTACAATTACCTTTTTTTTCTTTTTTCGGAAAATATTTCTAGTAACTAGGTCCCGTGGTCCAATATTCTTTCCACTCCTGTATTCGAGCATTTTTAAATGCTTAAAAGCATTTAAGGTTACCGGATACCCTAGAACTTTAAAAATTTCAAAAAAATGTTTTTACATATATATTCTTCTAGCTTACAGAAATAGACCTGTCGTCAGGACAAAATGCTGATCCCCTTGGATATCTTGCGCCTTTGACAATACTGATGAAGGTTTTATTCCAAGTTTTGTGTATGAACAAAGTTGATTGGGACGAAGAACTAACCGGAGATTTACTCAAGAAATTCCAAGCTGTTATTCGAGATATATTACTCCTTCATTCCGTGCGTATTCCCAGATGTTATTTTGACCCTAGATCAAAGCCAATTAATGTCTAGCTTCATGGTTTCAGCGATGCTTCGATTCATGCCTATTCAGCTGTAGTCTATCTGAAATCAGTATATGAAAATGGCACAATTCAAGTTCGGTTGGTAGCATCGAAGACCCGAGTTGCCCCGTTGAAACGACAAAGCATTCTTCGTCTCGAGCTTCTCGGAGCCCTCATATTGGCACGAGTTTGTGACAAATTTATTAAGGCACTTGGAGAACTCATTTGTACCTATTGGGTTGATTCAATGACTGCTCTTTGTTGGATTCGCAATGATAAACTTTGGAAACAATACGTTCGACACAGAGTTCATGAAATTCGTAATTTAAGTTGCACGTCCGCTTGGCAGTACTGTCCCGAGGTAGTTAATCCGGCTGATTTACCCTCTCGAGGACTTGATGCAAAGGAACTAGCTAGTAACGAGGTTTGGTGGAATGGTCCACAATTTCTACGTCAACCACCGAGTGAGTAGCCATCAGAGGATCAAACGATAGAATGTAATGAGGATGCTAAAAACGAAGAAATAAAGGCCCCGTGCCACCAAAAATTACGCACGTTTTACTCGACCATGATCCCACGCAAGCTACAGCGAGAATCGACAAAGTAATGACCACTGAACGGTACGGTAGTTTCCAAAGGTTGTTGAGGGTTACGGTTATTGTACTGCGTTTTATCGAGCTATTAAAGTCGAAGGACCGGACAACCTTAATGAAGATGTTAAGGACTTGAATACGGCGGAAGTGTTATGGATACGTACTACTCAAATATCATGTTTTCCCGAAGAAATAAAGTTACTGAGCGATTCCAGAAATGACACCACTGGCTCCAGGGATTCGGCATCGAAAATTATCCATTTTGGTCTGTACTTGGATGAGGCTGGTGTGCTACGCTCTCGGGGACGATTGAACGAGTCTTCCCTCCCATCAGATAGCAAGAATCCGATATTCCTTCCCAACAAACACTCATTCGTCAATCTGCTGATCCTGCATATATCCACAACGAAATCAAACACAGCGGAGTTCGGGACACTTTAACAACTATAAGAGAGCGGTTTGGGATTTTACGAGGACGAGAGGTTGTCAAGAAATTAATTAGGCACTGTATTGTTTGTCGAAAGTACGGGGGAACACCGTTCAAGCCCCAGCCAACTCCAGATTTGCCAGACTTCCGAGTTTCGAGCGATCCTCCCTTCACCCATATTGGGTTGGATTTCGCGGGTCCGTTTTTGATTAAGTCGATGTTTGAAACCAAACCAACAGAAAACGGCGAGTCTAACCCCAACGTTAAAGCCTACGTTCTCTTGTTCACGTGCGCGTCGACCAGCTCAGTTCACATTGAATTAACTTTGGGTCTCAGTGTACAAGTAGCGGTATGCCAGTTGACGGGGTTTACCATGCAGCCACGATAACGTCTGACAATGCTAAGACCTTTAAGTCAATCAGAAAGGGCATAGAACGAAGTATTAGATCTGAAGAAGTACGGCAATACTTGGTAGAAAGACGAGTCAAGTGGAAAGGCCACTAAAACTTATTGTTGGGAGATCTACCTTAACCTACGACGAGCTACAAACCATTTTAGTTGAAATCGAGGCATTAATCAACGCTAGACCTCTTACCTATGTTTATGATGATCAAGAATGTAACTATACGAGCCTTTAACACCCTCTCACCTGATTTACGGTAGGCGTATTACGAGTACCCCGAACAGTTCCCATCACGAAGTTGTTAGTACCAATCGATCCTTGACAAGAAGAGCGCGTCGTCATAAGCAAGTGTTGGATCAATTTACGAAACAATGGCGACAAGAATATCTCACAGGGGTTGCGTGAACAGTCGTTAGCGAAGTCGCACAAAAGAAACTCAGGTTCAACGATTTCCCAAGGAGAGATCGTCATCGTCAAGAACGAAACAACGCCGAGAGCATTTTGGAAACTGGCCCGTGTAGAAAAACTACTTCCAGGAAGGGATGGAAACATTCGAGCAGCAGAAATTAAGTTAGAGAGTAAGTTCGTTACAAGAAGACCAATTGAACAACTCGTATCCATTGAAGTGAAATCTACGTTAGCAGATTTAGAAACCGGTCACGAAGTAGGCAAGGAAGGTATTCAAGATGATGATAGTTTAGTTGTACGAAGTCGAAGAACCGCTGCTGTTCTGGGTGAAAGAAGACGACAAGAAGAGAACATTTCGTAACATTTAAAATTTGTAGTTTAAGTGTAATGATATTTTAACAATTTGTGTGTTTATCGCTTTTCAGTGACCAAACAGTGGGGAGTGTCATAAACATTTAAAAGCACTCCAGTCATTAAATAGTTCAGTGGGTTAGTGTTACCATATATGAGAAAAGGGTTAAGCACATGTTTTTTTTGTGCCTTTGAAATATATTGTTGTTTTGTGTGTTTGCGAGTAGTTTATACGAAATATAGGTCGAAATTCGAATTTTTATTACATCATATAACTAATACTAAAATTTTGCATTTTTTATTCTTTCTCACATTTGATTGGCTATTAATTTATTAGCATTTCACTCCTATAATCAAAGAACTCTGATTAAATCGCCATTTTCCCGTTACCACAAGCCTCGACTTTCTCGAACAGTTTCGCTCTCCCTGTTTACATGTAAATTAAGAATACTTCCTTCGCGGCACTCTATACATTTTCAATTTTAATTTTTCAGATCGTTCAAGAGCTGTCTGAAACCTGGATTTCCGTCCACTAGTACGGTGCTTTTCATTTATATCGCCATTCGGATCACTGTAGATGGGTTGGAAGAGTTCTTAATAATGCCAACGGCTTGGTATTACATCAAGGAACTTGGGGAAACAACTTTTTTTCTTGGTGTAACATTGGCATCTTACTCTATTGGGGTGCTGGTTACTGCCCCGTTCATTGGAGCACTGGACGACAGATTTCATATAACTAAACCAATCCTCATAGTTAGCGCTGCGTGTAAATTTATCGGACATCTGATTTATACCATCCCAATCAACGCATACTTTCCTCTATGTGGCCGACTACTATGTGGATTAGCTAACGGTTCAATGGGAGTTCTGTATGCTGTGGTGTCACGGTATACTGAGAAAGAAGGTCGCGCTAAAGCATTCTTGTTTTTTGGAGGAATGTTTAACTTTGGAATAGCACTAGCTCCGAGCCTTGGTAGCGTCATTAAGTTTAACTTTAATATCTTAGGCTCGACCATTGGCAAAGGGAATTCGCCCGGGCTGTTTTTGGCAATTATTTGGTTCTTAATGATTATTGCTACTGTGTTTTGCATCCCACGAAATGCGGGACGCGAAAATTCCTTGCCGTTAACACAAATTGGACCAGGTGCGAGAAGCGACGACAAAATCGACGGTGAATTGGAAAGAAAGAGTCGACCAATTATCGATTGCAAAATTGCTTGCCTGTATTACTTAATATTTATGGGTTTTTTCCTTTACTGTGTCACTACCTTCTACATACCGTTATTGGCAGCTGATCTTTATCATTTACAACTTATTCATGTAAAATTGCTTTTTATAAACGGAACGATGGTCGTTTTTGTCGCCTTTCTTTCCAACTACCTTGCAGTAGAATATGTGTCTGAAAGGAAACTGATCATCTTTTGGATGACTGTGCAAATCTTTCCAATTTTGTTGCTGTTTTACTTTGATCTTACGTGGCACAATCCAGATCAAGTGATAGGCACGTATCTTCTTTTGCCCTTGACCATGCTAGGAGTGTCGTGTTTCGGTTATTCCATTATCTTAGCTTTGCTGTCCAAGGTATCGCCACTTCAACATGCCGCATTTTATCTGAGTCTAGCTTCGACGGTAGCTAATGTGTCAATTATTTGTAGTCGCTTCATGGCAGGTCTAACCTTCGGTGCTACATCAAAGATGATCACATTGATTGGGATTTATTTTCTTTGGGTGGTCCAAGCTCTTTGGTATTATGTACAATATGAAAATTTCATCTGCCATTAAAATCTATAGGTGCAAGATAACTCGATTGTCAGGGACGGTAACATTTGTATTGTGTTATATTGTATTTTATAATATAGCATTTGTAAATTCTGAACGCTGATTGGCTAAGAACCGTGTTGATATAACTCAATGTCAACACGGGAAATTTTCCGCCACTTGTAAACACGGAAATTTTTGTTATCCTTCGGGCTTTTGACATTGCTATATTATAAAAAAAAAATAGAACATTTTTCCCGTATTGATATATAGTTTTATAATATAGCATTTGTAAATTCTGAACGCTGATTGGCTAAGGGCCGTGTTGATATAACTCAATGTCAACACGGGAAATTTTCCGCCGCTTGTAAACACGGAAATTTTTCTTATCTTTCGGGCTTTTGACATTGCAATATTATAAAAAAAATATAAAACATTTTTTCCGTATTGACATAAAGTTATATCAACACTCGTGGAAATTGGGAAAACTCGAAATTGTGTGAAAACACTCCGCCCTTCGGGCGTCGTGTTTCCACACAATTTCTCGTTTTCCCAATTTCCACTCGTGTTAATATAACTGTATATCAACACGGAAAATGTTTTATATTTGTTAAATATCAACACTCGTGGAAGTTGGGAAAACTCGAAATTGTATGAAAACACTCCGCCCTTCGGGCGTCGTGTTTCCATACAATTTCTCGTTTTCCCAATTCCACTCGTGTTGATATAACTGTATATCAACACGGAAAATGTTTTATATTTGTTAAATATTGAAAATTTATTTAAACACGATAGAATCGTCCAAAATTACATTATGTATACTGAAAAAAATAAATAAAACTATTTACAAAACGACGAGGATTACTAATTTACATGATTGCCATAGAAGTTAACCAACTTCAATCTAAACCTTTTTTAAAAGACATTGGGAGATTGTTTCTATCCAAGTTCATTTGGGAAACTATTCCATGCTAGGGCATTGAAATTCTAACAATATGTTATTGCAATAGTTTTCGGGTTTTGGGGGACACCCTGTACAAATTTGGAACGTTTACATCGTTGCTACCCAATTCACAACTCTAGATAACTCAAACGGCCTACTCTAGTTACCACTGTTCTAGTTTACATAAGCATAAAATACTAGGACAGAGGTAAAAATGCAGTTTTCGCAACTGTTCCTGGTTAGGGTCCGGGTTAGGTCTTTCACTTCTGAGGCCGCAGGTTCAAACCTCTGTGAGAACTTTCTCAATGCGACTCGAACCCAGTGCTCATGTGAAAAGAGTAAAAGTCAACGCTCTGCCGAAAGTCGTGGATACTCCCCGGGTACTCCGGTTTCCTCCCACAGGGAAAGTTGACAGGGTGGGTTAGGTAAAAGGACCCACAGCAATTGGCATATGCTGTGTTGAGGTGACCCTGCCCTAGTTGGAAAGCTAAATAAATAAATAAATAAAAACTTATAAGTTACCTTTGTTCTATTCTATGCTCCTACAAACTAGAACAATATAGTTAACTACACGGTCAGGGTGTCTCAAAAAAAGTGACCCTTTAGAAATCACCCTTTTGTTGTAAACACCCAAACTTCATTACAGTACCTCTGGGAGTTTAGAATGCATTGCAATCGTAAGAGCATGTTAAAACCGCATAAATTGTACATGAAAATTCTAATTAAAAGTAACTTTCAATTAGAATTTTCATGAAAGTTAACTGACTTAGAAACTAGTCCCGCCAGTTCGAGTGTCAGTTGACTCATTTCGATTAAACTGAACGGTTCAACTGACTATAGAGCAAAGAGTTTTTACTGTTTCACAAACAAGGGCAGATTTCGTGCTCGACCAATCAGCGCATTTGTTTACATTTTCGCTCTCAGCTAATCATAATGCAGGAAACGCGAAATTTACACCAAGGCGAACTAGAGAATATTATGACATTCAATTTTAACTTTTTACTCGCTGGGGCACCTGTGCCCCAGACGAGTATAGGTTTCGGCTCACATTTGTGGCGGATCTCCAATCGTCGATAGCCACAAAATAGAATATTAATGAGATGCTTAATTTTCCCCCAATTATCCATATATAGCCCTCCAAAATTCGGGAAAATTGAACAATTTTACAAGGAATTTCGCATGGAAACAGCAACCTTCGCAAATCGCAAGTTTATACGTTTGACGGCGCTGCTTTATATATTGAGAAGAAAGCGACACCGTTCGATTCAGCGTAAGAAATTGTACTTACGGATGTCAAGTGTATTACTAAACACCCGTATTTTAGCGATTTATGGCCTTTGAAAATGAAGCGAAATTGTATTGTTGAAAAATCGCTCGCAGTACGTATTGTTGATCACAAATCACTCGCACTACGTTTGTCCACAGGTTTGTCCTTGTATTTGTAATGCCTAATGGCGCAATAAGGATAAAAATACCACCGTTCGATTCAGCGTAAGAAATTGTACTTACGGATGTCAAATGGGTTACTAAGCACCAGTACTCTAGCGATTTATGGCCTTTGAATTGAAAATCAAGCGAAATTGTATTTGTTGACAAATCGCTCGCAGTACGTTTCATAGTGTATTTGTAATGCCTAATGGCCCAATAAGGATAAAAATACCACCGTTCGATTCAGCGTTAGAAATTGTACTAATTACGAATGTCAAGTGTATTA